GATTGAATTACAAAAACTCATTTCTGAAATCAACATCAGACAATCAGACTAAATAGTCTGATAAAATCAGCCTTGATTGGGAGGCAAGGTAGTAGGGAGAGAGTCGTCAAAATCAACAAGTTCGCAGATGTTGTCGAAATTGGGGAATGGCGCGGGCGGAGGTATGGGAACGATAATGTATGGCACTCCCTGGAAGCATATCCTCCGGGCTTAGAGATGCTCTTCTACAATTACGGCGTTCCATAAGCACATTGAAGGCAGAAACGTCGACTACAAGCATGGTCAAAGTGCAGGCACGGAAATCATCGTGCACCTGATGGACGACAACCCTCACCACTCCATTCACTTTTTGAATCGGAGAAAAAAAAATGTAAAATGACAACCCTTCAAGGCGCCCACGCCCTACAGAAATGTTCTGTTAGGGAAACGTGTAGGAAGAATCGCTTCACAAACACTTATCAAAAGGCATACCTAACTATGGTAACAGTCATGCTGCCACCACCTCGTGCCAGCAATGAAGGATAATTTCCGCGTCGATATTAAATCGATGCATGGGAAAATTATTTATGTGCATACTGTGCATGTAACTCAGGGTTGACGGAATGAAGGAACCCCTTGTGTTTTTTGGATGTATGTATTGTTGGACTGCGTTCTATATGGTGAAAAAGTTTGTGCAGGATTGTTATATTTTGTACTTGATTTCTAAGCCCCCGACGTTTTTTTGGGGAAAATATGGCGATGTATTTATCAAGATAGTAGGTAAAAAGAGGTTTGTGGTGTCATTTGTGCAAAATGAAGGGCGTTCTTAGTTGTTTGCTCGTTGAAGTCCCAAGTCGTACCGTAGTGCCCGTAGAAAATAATATCGAGTATTGTACGGAACTCGTCAAAACAATGTGAGGGGAGAGGGGGAAGGGGAAAAGGGAGGAGGGGGGAGGGGAAGGGGGGAGGGGGGGAAGGAGAGGGGAGCGGGAGAGGGGGGGAGAAGGTGGGGAGTGTAACAATCTGAATGATCCGTCATAAGATTGATCGACTAAACGTAGCAGCGGAAGTGCTTTTGATTGGGTAGGGACTTCGACTTCAAATAGAAACTGAATCTTGATTAAAGTGACTATAGTAGTTGTCGCGCTTAAAATAGAAAATGAATCTTGATAGAAGTGACTATAATAGTTGTTACGATATGGAATTGTTAAATAACATTCCTAGAGTAATGACTCTTAACGCGAAGATGACTCCAGCATTTGTCAGAAACTGAATTGTGTGTTCCTTGATGTGAGTTGGGGTACATGTAGCAAACCCTAACATCTGTACCCCCTAAGACAAACCTCACTACAGGATACAACATCTGACACACCCCCATAGCCTAAGTGAGGGGTGTCAAGCAAAACCAAAAGTGTACAGTCACAAGACCAGTCACAAAGAAACAAAGCTCAGGGTGGATCAAAACGTCACCACACACTTCGAGCACAAGGCCACAAGGCCAGTCGAAGAGTTCACAAAGATATAAGTAAAGCGTACAAGCAAAGCAAGCAGAGAACTCAAGTCTAAACACGACGAGAACCTGTGTCATGCACACAATACCTCTGGTGGTCATAAGGCTGAAGCGCCTTGGTGTAGATGTCTGCAGTGTTGGCCTCTGACTCCACAAACTCGAAGCGAGCCTATCCACGCCTCAGCAACTCTCGCAGAAGAAAGTACATGACGTTAATGTGCTTCACTCTGCTCTCCAGTCGTGGCTCCCGACAAAGGAGAATCGACGCCTTGTTGTCAGTGAACAAGGTCGATGCAGAGCTCGGCCGCTCACCAAGGTCGGCGAGCAAGAAGGTCAACCAGCGCAGCTCCTGTGCCGCCATGGCACCAGCGTAGACCTCAGCCTCAACAGTAGAGGTCGAGACCGAGGAGGAACGCGTGGACCTCCAAGAAACAGCTCCAGAACCCAGACTGAAGCAGTACCCTTGAGTAGACCTGTGAGACTCAGCGTCGTCAGCGTAAGAAGAGTGATAGTGACCAGTAAGTACGACAAACTGCTGCCCTCCAAGAACCAGCCCCACGCCTGATGTCGTCGCTAGGTACTTCGCCACCCTCACAGCTGCCGTCCAGTGAACAGGACGGTGTCTCCCTGGCGCAACAAAGCGAGCAAGCATGCTGAGAGGGAAGGCGAGGTCCGGGCGAGTACAAGTCATCAGGTACATGAGGCAGCCCACCAGCTCTGCGTAGGGACCACTAGGCTCAAACGGCTCGTCAAGAAAGGGTCCAGTGAGTCTGTGGTCAACAGCAAGAGGTGTGCGCTGTACTGTAGAGTGCTGAAGCTCGAACCGCTGAAGGACCTGCTGCACCAAGTGTGACTGTGAGAGTGTAATGGTGCGAGCAGCTCTGTCCCTGGTGATCTGCAGGCCAAGGTAGTGGCGCGGCTCACCAAGGTCAGTGCACGTGTGTCTCTTCTGCAGTTCGAACTTCACGTCTGCCAAGACAACCCTGTCAGCAGTGGCGAAGACCAGGTCGTCGACGTAGACCAGAACAAAAAACGGTGTGGTGCCATGTCGAACGAACAGCGACGGGTTGGCAGAAGACGGCTAGAAACCAAGGTCAGACAGGGTAGAACAAAGGGTGTCGTGCCACTCACGAGGAGCTTGACGTAGACCGTAGATCGGTCGCCTCAGCCTCCACTGGGTCCCAGGAGGGAAAGTGCCAGTGAAGGCAGAGGGACGACGCAGCCAGACCTCCTCATGTAGACTACCGTGAAGGAAAGCAGTGGAGAAGTCGAGAGAGTGTAACTCGTAGTCTCTCTGTGCTGCTACGTGCAGTAACACCCGAAGAGTGGTCATCTTCGGGGTAGGCGCGAAGGTCTGAAAGAAGTCAACTCCCTCGCGCTGACTGAAACCTCTAGCCACGTATCGCGCCTTGAAGACCGGAGGAGATCCCGGTGGCCGCTTCACCCTGTAGATCCATATGCCATCGACTACGTTTGCCCCAGGGGGGGGAACCTCGTCGACGTAGGTGCCTGTGGATCTGTAGGAGGCCATCTCTGCGTCCATGGCAGCTCTCCAGTGAGAGGCCCAAGGCCCTGACACTGCCTCAGCGTAAGTGCGAGGAGTCGGTATGTCAAGGGCGTCGGGGTCTCCCTCAGGGGCGAGGAGCATGGCACAGAGATGAGGGGAAGCGGCTGTCAGGAACTCTAGCTGAAACTGCCTGTCCTCTAGGGCGTCACTGCCAAAGGCAGACTCACCCCCGATGGCCAGAGGACTGGTAGGAGGAGCAGCCACAAGACTGGTGGCGTAGTCAAGGCGGCGAGTAGAGGCAAAGTCAGTGACTGCGGCTGTAAGAGCGGAGACAGAAGACACAGAGGCACGAGGGTCGGTAACAAGAGAGGCGAGAACACGAGAGAGAACAGGACAGTACGTGCAGTAGTAGTCAGTGACAGGAGTGGAGAGGGAAGTAGTAAGGGCCAACTCAGGAGGAGAAGGAAGGAGAGACGGGGACGAACGAGGCGTCCTAGAACGAAAGAGGGCAGTACGAAGGTCGGTCACGAGAACAGGAGACGAGGGACGAGCACGAGGAGAGCGACGAGAGGCCCAAGTCTGAGAAGGAGGAGACAACGGAGGCGGAGAACGAGTGAGAACAACGGGGGAGGAGTCACGAGGAGGAAACGTGGGACCGTAGATAGGAGGAGAGGGGGAGGAGAAAGGAGAGCGAGAGGGGAGACCAAGGGTCCGAAAACCAGAGACAGGTTGAGGAGGCGGCTGCTGCTGCTCCTGCGGCGGCTGCTGCTGCTGCTGCTGCTGCTCCTCCAGCCGCTGCTTCTGCTGCTGCTGCTGCTCCTCCAGTCGCTGCATCTCTCTCTCCTCTCTCTCCAACTCCAGCTGCTCCTCACGAGCACGGCGAACACGAGCCTGGTGCTGGGTCGGGTAGGGGTGGGGGGGAGGAGTAGTGTGCGGGGCCGCAGCAGCCCCAGGACCGCCCTCCAGAGCACCAGGCGCACCACCCCCAGAGTCAGCACCACCAACGGCAACACGGCCAAGCTCACCAGAACCCGGAGAGGGCACACCCGCACCCCCAGACGCAGCACCCCAAGGGTCACCTCGACCAACACCAGCTCCCGAAAGACCAGAGTCCCCTGCAGCCACGGGCTCAGCTCCAACTCCAGCACCCCCAGAACTAGGACCCGGCACATGTACGCTCTCTGCTCCAACTCCAACTCCTCTAGAGCTAGCACCTGCAGGGTCCTCTCCACGAGCACCGGCTCCTGTAGGGTCTGCAGCAGGCTGCGAGGAGGATTGCGGGGAAGGAGGCTGCACCCGAGGGGCTACCGAGGGGGGAGGGGTAGCGTGGGACTACCGGACGGGGCTGGACCAAAGGGAGAGGCTGTACCGAGGGAGCAGGAGGGGGAGCGGAAGTCAGGAAGAGAGGGGGAGGAGGAACCGAGAGACCTCGACAGGGGTACCTTACGTAGTAGGGGGTGGACTCCTCGAAACGGTCGTCACGGGAGTCAAAGAACTGGTGAGAGGGAGGGTGGTAAAAGGTGAAGTCAGAGGAGTCCTCAGGGAAACCAAAGGAAGACACAGGAAATGGCGCGATCCGAGAGCTTGTCCGCAGAGGTGTCACGGACACGAGCCAAGCAACCCCAGACACGAAACCGCGACGCAACACCAGGGGACCCGGTCCAAAGACTGATCGGTGAAGCCTGTGGTCGAGAGACACGTGGCCAAAGGTTCAGCTGGTGAGCGGCGTACCTAACCGCGTAGGGCCACAGAAAATGGGGGGCACGGGCGTGAGTCAAGGAGGTGCGGGCGATCTCCATGACCAAGCCTATGCGGCGCTCAGCAACCCGATTCTGCTGTGGGGACTCTGGAAGCGTCTAGGACTGACGGATGCCCTGCTCGCGACAAAATCCAGCCAGTACGCCGGAGCGAAACTCACCCCCACGGTCGGAGTGAAGACAGCTGACACGACGACCACGAGTTTCCGCAGTGGTAAGCAACCACCTGATCAGCGTAGAAGTCACCTCAGACTTCTTCGCTAGGGGGAACACTGTGGTGTAGCAGGAGTAGTCGTCAACGACCACCAGAAAGAAACGCTCACGCTCAGGGCCAGGGCGAGAAGCAGGGCCCCAGACGTCTGTGGAAAGTCTCAAAAGGCTCGGTGGCCGGACGCAGGGAGGAGGAGTGAGGGGTGGCGCGCAGCCGACCCTCAACGCAGGGACCGCACGGTGGTGCAAGCGAAGGCGGCAGCGACGGCAAGACAGGCGGGAGGCCTAAGACAAGACGCTGACGAGACATAGCGCGCAGGTGAGGAAGGGACGGGTGCCCCATCCGGTGGTGCCACAAAACAGAGAGGTGGGCAAGCGACCGGAAGAAGCAAGACGCAGCAACTGGACCAGACACTGGAACCTGAGTAGACACAGCCACCTGGGGGGACGCAGCAACCTGGTAAGACGCAGGGACCAGACGGGGGGAAGGGACAGGGGCCGGGGGCAGTAGTCGCCGCTGCTGCTGCTGCTGCTGCTGCTGCCGCTGCTGCTGCTGCTGCTGCTGCTGCTGCTGCTGCTGCCGCTGCTGCTGCTGCTGCTGCCGCCGCTGCTGCTGCTGCTGCTGCTGCCGCTGCTGCTGCTGCTGCTGCTGCCGCTGCTGCTGCTGCTGCTGCTGCTGCTGCTGCTGCTGCTGCTGCTGCTGCTGCTGCTGCTGCTGCTGCTGCTGCTGCTGCTGCTGCTGCTGCTGCTGCTGCTGCTGCTGCTGCTGCTGCTGCTGCTGCTGCTGCTGCTGCTGCTGCTGCTGCTGCTGCTGCTGCTGCTGCTGCTGCTGCTGCTGCTGCTGCGGCTGCTGCTGCTGCTGCTGCTGCTGCTGCGGCGGCTGCTGCTACTGCTGCTGCTGCGGCGGCTGCTGCTGCTGCTGCTGCTGCTGCTGCGGCTGCTGCTCCTGCCCACCAGAGTCAGTGTGAAGTGTGTAGAGACCGGAGCCCGGCTCAGCAATAAAGGTGGCAAGAAGTGCGTAAGAGTTCCCGTCAACACAAACTGCCGTCTCGCCAGAGGGCTCAAGCCACACACCCACGTGTTGACTCACGAGAGGCCTCACACCCACCAAGTTCCTCGAGAACGAGGGGACGTGGAAGCCGGTCAGAGACCCAGAGGGAACAGCTGGGCACGAAAGAGTAGTAGTGTGGCGAGCAGTGACTGGTCCCAAAGTGGGATCAGCCAGTGCGACAGAGACCGGCGCCAGAAGCGGTGTGAGCGTCGTGTGGTCGCGAAAGAAACAGTGCGAAGCTCCAGAGTCCACAGTGAAAGACAGCGACGCGTCCTCCGAAGCTGCTCCTAAACTAGAGTCTACACAAGTACCTACACTAGCAACAGGCACCTCAGCAAGACTAGCACCTAAGCTAACAACACCCGAATAAACAGAGTCAGAAGCACTAGAGTCAACAACAACATACATAGCATGAGGAGTTCCTAACAGATCAATCAACTGAGAAGCAGACATGCCCCACAAAGAGAGGCCGCGCGACTGAACAAGGGGAAACCAGTCAGGGGCAGGGCCGTCAACGCCGTAGGCCAAGCGAACGGTGTTAGTAAGCCGAGCAAAGCACTGACCCGGTGGGTGGGTGCGGCCACAGGGCTGGCCCCGGCGGGCACCTGTCAGAACGTGATAGGTGCACGGAGGATGAACGACACTGCGCTGGAGCTGAAGCTGACCTGACCCCTGCCTCAAAACCTGCTGCTGCCGCTGCTGCTGCGGGGGCTGCTCCGAGGGTAGTGGCTGCTGCTGCTGCTGCTGTCGCTGAGCCAGGTACCACGCCGCTGCTCCACCCCCGGCGGCCGGCCGACGAAGCCGGGCGTCACCTCAACTAGCTGCAGCAGGGGAGTCACTGGCCGCTGCACGAGGCGCTCCTCCAGTCGCTGCACTCTCGCCGCCACCGCTCGCCACGACACCCACGACGCCTCCGCCGCCCCCGCCCGCACCCTGACCGCTCCTCTTGCCACCCCTACCCCGGGACCGCGAAGAAGTCGTAACAGCAGCGGCGGTCACGTCAGTAGCAGCAGTGGCTAGGGAGGCAGTAAAGGTGGGCAGCTGGGGGACAGTGTACTCGTGAAACAGGGGAGGGGGCACAGCACCAGAAGCGGAGGCTACTGAGCGGAGGTTGCTCTCGACGTCCTTGAAAGCAAACTCAAGGACGCCGATAGTGAGCTCGCTAGGGTGCTTCAGAAGAAGCGCGTCACGAACCGAAGCAAGGCGGTCAGGGAGGCTAGTGGCGATGAAATAGATAGTGATCGCCATGGGGGAGGCAGCAGTGCAAGCTGTGCGTCAGTGCTAGCAGCGCGGAAGCTAGCGTCCAGTGAGCGCAGATGAGCAATCAGATCAGCAGAGCGCTCAAACGTGGCGAGGTCAGGGAACAGGAAGGAGAAGCATAACGGGCCTTTATCGCAGTCAAGAACTCACTAGCCGTGCGAACCTGCGTAAAATAGGTCTCCTCGGACTCAGGGAGGAGGCTGCTGAGGGCGATGCAGGCTGCAGCGTCACGCGATCGCCAGACAGTCAGGTCAGCACGCTGACGGGCAACACGCTCTCTGTCCGCAGTGGTCGGGTCAGAGCCTAGGGTGTCAGGATCGGCGGGCGCGCGGAGGTCACCGGATGCGTGTGCGCAGAGAGAATCATTGGCCTGCACCTGACTCTTTAGGAGACGCTGCGCACGCTGGAGCCGGATAGAGAACTCGAGGGGCCTACCCTCAGCGTCAAAGCGAAGAACCCTAGGGGTCGCCATAGCGATAGCAGAGGCGACAAGACTGGCAGGGCGCAGCGGCAGAAGCGGTGCGGCGCTAAGAGAGGGCCCTCGGCGAGCCTAACGAGGAGGCGCAGCGGCGGGCTGAACGAGCAGGCGCGGCGGCGGTAAGGGAGGGCCCACGGTGGGCCTAACGAGTAGGCGCGGCGGCGCTAAGGGAGGGGCCCGCAGCGGGCCTAACGAGCAGGCGCGGCGGCGGGCGAGACGGGCAGGCGCGACGGCGCTAAGGGAGGGGCCCGCGGCGGGCCTAACGAGCAGGCGCGGCGGCGGGCGGGACGGGCAGGCGCGGCGGCGCTAAGGGAGGGGTCCGCGGCGGGCCTAACGAGCAGGCGCAGCGGCGGGCGGAACGGGCAGGCGCGGCGGCCAGCGTCGCGCGCGAGCGAGCGCAGGGCAGGCGCGCGGGCGGGCGGGTAGGGCAGGCGCGGCTAGCGCTTAGGGCAGGCGCGCGGGCGGGCTGAGAGCAGGCGCAGCGGGCGCGTAGGATAGGCGCGCGACGGGACAAGACGAGCGCGATAGCGGGGGGAACGCGCTGCGGCTAGTAAGAATGCAGGCGCGTGGCGGACGGGCGTATGAGAGGGCGGTACGGCAGTGCTACGAGACAAGACGAGTGAGGCGCAGTAGGCTCGGGAGGCTCGGGTAGGAGGAACGGGATCCTACAGGATCCTAACCTAGGTGATACCATGTCAGAAAATGAATTGTGTGTTCATTGATGTGAGTTGGGGTACATATAGCAAACCCTAACATCTGTACCCCCTAAGACAAACCTCACTACAGGCTACAACATCTGACAACGATGACGAATGCCGAGCGACACAAATAGTTATCGAAGACGGTTGAGAGCAGGAAGAATTCGAAGTGCAAGCACGGGAAAACATTCAAACAGTTACCGTGGCGCGTATTGTTACCGAACCGCACGGTTGGTTTTCTAGATTAGCCATAAGGGGAATGTACCTCCTCAGAGTATATGGCTAGCTAGGACCTTTCGCATTCTATTGTATTCCTACATAAACCCCTGTATCGCATTGTATTAGTAACATCTGTCGAGATTCAAATATCCTTCTTCTGACAGGGTCCGTACCTGACTTCGCTAGCAAAACTTCCGCCGCTACGCTACATACGATCAACCTGAGACGATCCCGTAAAAGTCGTTTCAGACTGTAGCTTTAGTGAGGCACAGTTGTTTATACATGAATACGGAGGAATGAGAAAGGTCATAGCTAGCCATGTCCTATGAGGAGTAGATTCCCCTTTGGGTACATTCCTGCAAAGACATGTCTTCGTTTTAGGCATCACACAACCAATGTACCGCTCTGTACCGCATTACACCTAAACATCGAACTTTTCCACCGCACTGTATTTTATCGTTTGAGATGCGATGCTCTTGTGACGCGCTCCAGAAATGTACCTTTAGGGCTCATCTAGATCGGAAAAACGTGCAGTTCGACAACCGTTTGAATTTTAGTCTTTCAAAAACTATGTACGTCCAGCTTTTATGCAATGTAGGCCTTTCATAAAATATGAACGAAGAACATCATGATTTTGTGAAGAAGGTTGAACCATTTTTTTTAGAAGAAGAAGAAAAAAAAGGGAATCGGATGGTGTTCAACAAACCATTATGCGAGCTGTAATCTGTCTTATTGTTCGCGCCAATAGCATATTCATACCATAGGCTATCTTCTGTCGACCCCTACCTCAACGACAATTCGATAGCAAAGTCTTCGATGCCGGTAACCTCCGCGAACAAATAGGTTTGGTTGGATATTCAAATACACTGCAGGTGACGAAGGCGTAAGAGGAGCAAGAGGCGCTAGAGGGCTGGCATGAGTGGTGTGGCAGACATATATCATGGATTGAAAACATGAATGGACCAGCTTCTTACAAAAGATGTAGAGGAAGGAGAAGTCAGGCAAACGGGTTACGAATTTACTGAGGGGGGGAATAAAAAAAAAACCATATGTGAAATAATATGTTTAGGGCCTTTAGTTAAGACCCTGCTAGTTGCGCAGTTATATTTCATTGATGGCGAATCCTTGGACATGCAAAACATTTCCTAACGTCATCATGGATCAAAAGCTTCCATTGTGACACAACACAATTTATCGCACTGGCGTTGTGACCAACGCTAGCTAGTCCATTAGCTGCATCGTCGTCTCATTGGGGCCAACAGAATGCATAACAGTCCGTGATGGCTATGAAAGCGTCCATACCATGGAATCATAGGGATAAATCATGTCTCGCTATTGCTACATATATGTATTACGCATGAGTAACAATTGAGTGAAAAATAAACTTTCATATGTATAATTTTATGTGCATACGTATCTGCAAAATGTTATGGTTTCTGAGTGTATATTTTTTTCCAGAAAGCACACTTTCGCCTTTTTTGGGGGGCAGACCAGATAATATTGTACCTTGAAGCTGATATGACTACATTTGCTGGTATTTAATTAAGCAACCAATTAATTGGATAGGTGAGAGTCAAAGTTGACCCTTTTGTAACTGGGCACAGCTGGGGTTGTAGGGTAATCATGGCTAAATCTCCTGGAGGCCTAGCTAGAACACAGTCTGCGGTGTTTCGTACGTACGCGGTTTCATGGTGTTGATGGTGGTTACAAACAGTGATCGCCGCAACTGGCAGTCTCCGCGTGGGAAGGAAACCAAGTGGTCGGAATTACACACACCTCTCCAATGGGAAGGTCGTTTTCAGCGCACGGTGTGGGACTGGCTGGTTTGGTGTGGTGAAGGTTGGAGTTGTCCAAACCACCCGATTTGGATGGCCGTCAAACACTAGATTTGTGTTGACGTGTAGGGACATCCAAAGCCTCGCTGCCCGCAGGCAAAAAAAAACTTCCTCGGGAATGACATGCCAATTTTGTCCGTATGGCGAGGCTGCCGCAGCTGGGATCAACAGTTTCAACCTCCATTAAACAGTGGTGGTGCCTATTGCCCCTCAAATCATTTGCACTCGGTCGACGATGGCCAGCGCAGACAGTTTTCCACGAGTTCCAGACCCAGACCTGTTGTACACTATGATTCTGGTATTGCACTACTTATGCTAAAATTGTATTCTGTTGTTTAAGATACACGCCAAACTGTGTATCTACATCCATACGTTCACACATCCAGAGACTTTCCCGACGCAAGTACCATGTACGTACACTTTGTGACTTTGAACATAATCAAATTTTTACAGTAATGATGGTCGGCAAAATGCATTTGAATTCGACAAAATATAAATAAAATTTTGCAATACTTTTGAATTATGCTATTCGTATTAGGACACAAGAGAAATATGTCACACATGTTAGCCATAGGATAGAATAAGTGCCAACATTGAAATTTATCTTATTGTTGCAAACAGCTAAAATGGAAGGTCGCCTTATCCAATTGAATTCAATTAATACAACGATTCCATATTAAGTAGCTCCATTTTTATTGGTTCCACGCCTCCTCCAACCCCCCCTCCCACCAGCCTCCCTACCCCCCACCAGCCTCCAACCCCCCCTCCGCCCCCTCCTCCTTCCCCCCCCCCCCCCCCCCCCCCCCCCCCCCCCCCCCCCCCCCCCCCCCCCTCCCTTTCTTCCAACTCCCCCCCTCGCCCCCTTCTATCCCCTTCCACATCTTTGTCTTTTACGGCTGTTGAGGACGTGCATGGCTCCATGAGTTCACCCATACAAAATATTTTTACAGCACGGAGTGTCAAACAGAAACGAGAAATCAGTGAATCTTGGTCGGGGCACCTTTTTTTTTCAAACCTAGGCCGTCTGGCCGTCTGGGTATCGAACATACAGCTCGCGAGGCGGGATCCGTCGGTTCCGCTTTGTGTACAACTGTACAACAGTTCGTTTGCTGGGGTAACGAGCAGGACGAAAGATAGGTTTGGGCGTAGGAGGTTCGCGTAGGAGGTTCCCCTGCCGTCAGCCACAACCACAAGACGTTCTGGCCAGCAGCAGCAAATTTGGTGGCGGAAAAAAAATAGCATCAGGTGGCGGAAGGACCAGCTTCCGCGTGAAGAGAGGGCACTTGCACTTGTACACCCTGTTCTCGATAATTTCACGGCTCTAAATCCCGAACCACGATTTCTTTTGCCCGAGAGGGTGTGAAATTAAGGGGGCAAATATTGTCCCCGATAATTTCACCATCAGGGCGCGGTACAGCTGTGCTGGCAGGGAATACACATGACTTGAATAGACCCAGAGATTGTTGACGATCTTGAAAAAAATCTTTGCATCCAATGAAAAACAGTCACGTCAGGATTGCTTTTATCGTAACCCTGACCACAAATTCGAATCTAAATTTTGGGCCCCCAAAATTGAGGAGTTATTCACGATCAGATTTAATTTCGACACATGCGCGAGTTTCCCAAAGTAACACGTGTTTGTAGCAAATCCAGTCCAGTCGTTATAACTTCAAGAGTTGCAACAAACATTGAAACCGTCTTGGTTCACACTTTTGAACGCGACCCGAACAGACCCAAGCTTCCCCACTTCTCTGGCTTGCTGACAGTATAAAAAGCTGATCATTTCTGCACATCTCGGTTCAATGATCCCTCACGGTTCGCCAGCTAGGCAGCCCAAAGCCTTTGCTGGTGATCCCGAGTCGGTGCGTAAAATTAGGGGGGTGTGAAATAATCGAGAACAAGGTGTACACTTCTGGTACAGCCACTTAGTGTGGCTCGAGGCTGGTGGCCAACCAGCTTTTGCCTGACGTGGCAATATGGCAGGCAGGCAGTGGAGGAATGAAGGAGAGTTTAGTTCAAGTAAATGATAATAGCGTTTGGAGTTAAAATGCTCCTCACTACTTCCTGAAACTATTTCGTCCGTCCTTCCTGGATTTCCTAGACTGAGATTTATATCGGCCACGTTCAATTGCACTTCCTTCACAATACAGCCCCACCACAGTTTTGCCGAGTCGGCCTTAGGGTTTCCGAACCTGGGGTCACTACAAGCCAGATGCAAGTTGATTTGGATTACAGTTCTGACAGCTGTAGAAACAGTCCACGCCGCAACTGTCAGAAGCACGTAGTCAACGGATACAGCAAACGTATACAGTGCGCAACTCAATTGATTTTAGCAAGACTTTTTACGCGAAACTATACGCGAAAAGCGCAGCATTGTCGCTCCTCACACATTACTACTGCCCATTTTTCGTTCACTGCGTAGAGTTAGTGGGATTTCTACGCTATAAAGTTTTCATTGGTCAAGATGTTGACGGACCGACAACTCCACTTGGATTGACGGCAATCGAACCGTTTGCACTTGAATTTTGGGCAGACAAAAATATATTACCCTCTTAGATGGAATGATGTTTAGGGAGCATCAACCCTGTACACCGGGCGAAAGCGTTTAGGGAGCATCAACCCTAAACATTGGGCGAAAGTGTTTAGTGTTGATGCCATCTGCTATTTTTTTTTTAATGGCTGCCATCGAGGGAGGCATTAACCCTACACACCATGCAAATGAGTGTTTAGGATTGATGTTTGATGCTCTCTTTATATGGGCTTGAGAAAATGTTAAACACCTGACTAGGTTATACTGTTTTCTCTTATACAAAAGGTGTGTCATGTTAAAAGATTTAGACCAATGAGCGTTAAACCGTGTAAAAATCGTACTAAATATGAGCTGTAAGCGAAAAAACGGGTAGTAACCCTGCCCATAAGCGATGGAACTACGCATTTGGCGTGCAGTTTCGAAAACCATGCTTTCTCAACTGAAAACACTTTTAGCAAATTTAGATACGAAAAAATGTAAACAAGATTCCAGCACGTGTTGAACTTAGAAAAATTCGGAGGTGGGTTTTTTTTTAAGAGGAGGATTTCAGCTCACAATATACCCATGGACAGAAACACGACTTAAAAAAAAAATCTACTATCCATCGGGAAAACTGTACCCCGATGGTTCAGGATGATTTAGAGATTTTCTGCCAGAAATTTTTACCCCTTCAAAGTTGCATCGAAAAGACTTCTGTTGGTGGTGCAAGCGGAAACCAAGTGAAATTTTGTCCATGAAGACTGTTGCTTGACCAGTAGACAAAAAGTGTTTGTACCGCGGTTCGCAGCGAAAATTACCAGATCAGAGTTGTAGGTGTTTAAAACCTATGTAGGGATCTGCTTTGGAATCGCCTTATTGTGCAGGGGGTTAAAGCCCTATTTTGCAGCTGCTGAACCTTTTCCGAGCCAGCCGAAACTTTATTTAGGCTGTAGTTACCACTGGATTTCAAAGCTATCGAACATGGTCAAGTTTTGTTCCAAAGTTTTTCGATATATTTGCGCTAGTTCCTACAAAAAAAAAGCAGAATTACTAATTAGCTACACCGAGACCTTTGTTTTTAAAGTACTATAAACATATATTTATGTACAAAAAATACAAAAGGTGGATGAAGATATGGTCATGAAGGGCATTGAAATGATTTAATCCGTAATAATTTCTGCATCAAACCTATATTGTCTTAAAATAAAAATTAAATAATACTGCAAGTTTTTTTCTCAAAGAGTTTTGCTGATTTTATCAGGTTTCCTAACTTATTTTTTTTTTTACAATTTCATGGTTTAGATTAATAATCCTTAAATATTAAACTTTCATACGATCACAAACTTATGTAATTAATAAGAAATATGATATCAACCATAAAATAGAAATAATATAGCTATGATATAATGGTGTGACTTATTTTTTTTTATTTTTAACATGTATTGTTGTGAGTGTTAGTGATAGATGATTGGCTTAGATAGCTAGGTGATAGGTCAGAAAATGGTCAATTTCTCCGTTAATTTTTGGATGGGCTCAAGATGGTAGCAAACAGTACCATGTTCCCCAAACAACGAGGCTGCGAAATGAGAGTAGTTGAGAACCGAAAGTAATACGCAAAATTCTCTGAAGATAAGGGCGAGCCACCCGCTGTGTGCTCTGTTGCATCCACCGTCTGTCGTGTTCAGCTGCTGCTGCTCCTGATGTTGCACAGCCCAGGGTTGAGAATCTCTTCTGCTCCGCCCCAGATGACTGCCAAGCCATCCACAACTCAGCTGCACGTACGTCAACCAACCATCCCATCCAACATTTCCTTCTTTCTTGTAGGTCTGCTTCCCTGAGCAGCAACCTTTTCTCATTAGTGAGGTAGCATGGGACTCTCTTCATCAGATCTAGAGACCGCGTGTCCGCGTCCGCACATGTCGGCGATGTCACTTATACTTGAGATACAAGCCGCGACGGGTTCGACTGCAATTGAGACGGCGGTGTCTTGCTTTAGGTCTTCTGGAGTCGGTGTGTCGTTTGCTCCTCTCAGCAGCAGACGGTGCTTCAGGCTAGCATAGTATGCACCGTCCAACCATGATTTTTTCCGCTTTGTTTCTACGTTGGGACGTTACTTTTGCAGTCGTTGGTTTTTTTGTCCGCAGAAATTAAATCTCTTCAATCCGTGTTATCCGCTTTTTGAACGAGTTGTTCTTTGCTGCAGTGCGCATCGTCACGATAGCGGACTGTTCCTCGCCTCTTCGCACGTAGAGCCATAGATTCGCAACATTTGGATAAGAAAAAACAGTAATAGGGCGCTCGACACAGCCGGGGCCTGCAATGAGTCTGCGACGCGCTTGTTGTCCAACGCTCGTGGGACTCTTCACAGTGACGCGGAGCTACTTCTTTTTTTACTAACGAGTCTTGAGGCGCCTCATAACTAGGATCAAGTTTTGAGACGCCTTGGAAGCTGTCCGGCGACGCTCTTAGGACTCCTAGAAGTACGAGAGACGCGGTACTGCTTCTTTCACCATGGATGTGGGAAGGAAAGAGGATTCCGGCCCATCATCACCATCAGCAGCGGCAGCGCCGTCGCCTGAGTGGGTGCAGCCGCGGCTGAGAGCAGTCCGTAGTGTCATGATGCAAAGCCGTCGTGATGACGCACGGGATGGTCATGATGACGCACGGGATGGTCATGATGACGCACAGGATGGTCATGATGACGCACAGGATGGTCATGATGACGCACAGGGTGATGATGATAGCTCACAGAATGATCATGATGCCTCGCATGGCTCACAGGATCGTGATACTCATGGCGCATCATACATTGGTCATGAAGAATCGGATTACATTCACGGAGAACCGTCGCATCAGCGAGAGCACCAGGCAGCGCATCAGGAGCATGATCTGAAGCCGCACGAAAAGCATGGGAAGCATCAGGAGCACGGAACGCGTGAAAGGCATCACCATCACGTACATCAGAAGCATCTGAAGCATCAGAAGCTGGAGGTTCCAGAAGCTCCACCGATGCAGCAGCACGCACTGCTGCTCGCCCCTGCTCCCTCCATGATCAATGCTGCTGCTACTACCACTACCATTGCTACTGACACATCATCCTTTTATGCAGCCGCCCCTCCTGCGAGAAACCCCATCCGGACAGACAAAGACAATCCAAGCGGTTCCTCTGCTCTTGTAAGCCTCCCCCCTCCCCTCATCCCCCCGCCGGCTTCCACTCCCCCATCAGCTGTCGCACCACAAGCAGCGGCAGCCTCAGCAGCAGCAGGAGAATCAGCGCTAGCACCGCCAACGTCAGAAGACGCGCCAGCAGCAGCAGCTGCAGCAGCAGCATCAGGAGGGGGAAGCGGCAGCAGCTCCATCCCCATCCCGCACATCTCGGCGCCGTCCTTCTCGTCCTCTCTCCCCCCTTCGCTCCTCACGGACCTGGAAGGTATCCCTCCCTGCTCCTGCTTCACCAACTCGGTCTCCGCGCAGTTCAACCCGCACGTGCACGCCATCCGCTACACAGGCGTGCGCAGCCGCGGCAGCAACCGCTGGATCGCGGAGATCAAGGACAACCAGCGCGGCGTGCGCAAGTGGCTCGGGACCTTCTCCTGCCCCGTGCAGGCCGCGCACGCGTTCGACGCCGCCGCCAGGGCCGTGAGAGGCCCCAACGCGCGGACCAACTTCCGCGTGGGGGAGACGGCAGGAGTGCCGGGGACTGGGGGGAGCAGGTCTAGGCGGTGGAAGAAGGTTGCGGCTGACAGTAAGGCTGCTGCTCTGGCCGCTGCTGCTGCTCTGGAGGCGGCGGCTCTGGCAGGTGGGTCGGAGGATGGTGGTGTGGGCGTTGGAGGTGAAAATGCCGCGGTGTTTGCTGGTGCAAGTCCTGGAGTTGCTGGTTCTTGGTCCCTGGGTGCTGCTAGGGGGAATGTGTCTTCAGGAATGACATCTCAAGGCATTGCATCCCAAGGCATTGCATCCCAAGGCATTGCATCTCAAGGCATTGCATCCCAAGGCATTGCATCCCAAGGCATTGCATCTCAAGGCATTGCGTCGCAAGGCATTGCATCGCAAGGCCATGCCGCGTCAGAGTCCCCTCGGGAGTCTCCTCGAGAGCGGTGGGCTTTTGACTTGGAGGCTGTACCCTCCCGCGATAACCAAGAGGATGCAGCAGCCGCGGCGGTGGGGGAGGGAGAGGGAAAGGGGGACTGTAGTATGGGCGTCAGAGAGGGACACAGTGAGAGAGGCAGTGATGCGGCACGGCAAACCCAAGTTCCACGCTCTCGGGCTGTGAAACACAGCGTCATCACATCTCCCTTCCATCCACAGCATCGCGTATCACCTCACCCCCAAGCTTCACCGCTCCCCCACCCATCACCGCCGGTCCCCCACCCATCACCGCTCCCCGACCCATCGCCTCACCAGCATCGCCTCAGCTTCGACCTGTCCTGCAAGCGAGCCCGCATGGACCCCACCACGCCTGCGCCTCCTTCTGCTGCCCTTGCCGCTGCTCCTGCTGCTCCTGCGCTTGCTGTTTCCCCTGCTGCTCTGCTTCCTTCTGCTGCTGCTTCACCTGCTGTACCTGCTGCTGTTGCTCCTCCTCTTCCTGCTGCTGCTGCTGCTGCTGCTGCTGCTGCTGCTGCTGCTGCTGCTGCTTCTGCTGCTGCACCTGGTGCGTCTGCTGCGATGGTACCGTGCAGTCACACCCGTGGCACTGACGCTTCCAAGCCTGCTGCAACGGGTGCTGCTGCGACGGGTGCTGCTGCGACGCTCCGCGGCGTGCTGTCCCACCAGGTGACGCTGGAACCACCCGAGAGCGCCCCCCCCACCACGTTTGAGGCTCCTCAGAAGTCGCTTCGTGGCGTGCTGTCCCATCAGCTTTCTCTTGAGCCACCTGACAGCGCCCCCCCCACCACGATCCGAGGGATTCTCGGCCAGAGGCTTGGTGCCCGGGGGTCTGCTGCAGGGACAGCAGGGGCAGCAGGGGCAGCAGGAGCGGTAGGAGCAGCAGGGGCAGCACAAGCGGCAGCAGGGGCAGCAGCAGCAGCGGCAGCAGAAGTTGCAGCAGGAGCAGCAGCGGGAGTGGGAGAAGGAGCAGCAGCAGCAGCAGCATGGACCACGCACAGCCGTTCTGGGCACGAGATGGCGCCTGGCATCCCTCACCACCCCCCTCACCACCCCCTCACCACCCTCCTCACCACCCCCCTCACCACCCCCCTCACCACCCCCCTCACCACCCCCCTCACCACCCCCTCACCACCCCCCTCACCACCCTCCTCACCACCCCTCTCACCACTCGCATCACGACTACCCTCACCAATCGTACGAACGCCATGCCATCCCACATGCACACCAGCAGGGTGCTGCCAGCGCCAGCGTCTCACACGCCCTCCACTCCCCTCTCACCCTCACCCTCAGCCCCCCTCGCCCACGCAGCGGCACCCATGCTGCGCACCAGGCGCTCTCACACTCAGGGCAGCAGCAGGAGGCGCCTCATCCGAGCCAGGCTCAGGGGGCAAAGGGCGCGGATCCCGCAGGTGCTGTAGCTGGGAGGGTGCGAGGCACAGCGCGGATTCGCCTGGCGGGACTCAAGGGCAGCTCTGGGAGCACCATGGTGCACACACAGGCGCCCAGCAAGGACAGAGAGGGCGTGATGTCGCTGTCGCCCAGCAAGGGCAGGTCTGGCCAGGCAGATGCGGGGATCCTCACTGCACCTGTATCAGGTACTGGGCACTCCCTGGCCTCGGCTCCTCCTCGTTTCCCCTTTCCTCCACCGCCTCCTCCTGCGCGTTCCTTGCCTCCTCTTTTCATGCCTTCTCCTCCCTTCCCTCCTTCTACTCCCGTGCCTCCTCCTCTGCCCTTGCCTCCTCCGCCCTTGCCTCCTCCGCCCCTGCCTTCTCCGCCTGCCACGTCCTCTGTGCAGTGTGCGTCCCTATGGGCTCCCTCACTGCCTGCCACTCGTGCCTCTCTTGCATGCCCTTCCACCTCTCACCCGCTCGCCACACCGCACTACGAAGCAACAGCAGCAACAGCACCACCACCACCACCAGCAGAAGCAGCACCAACACCAGCAGCAGCAGCAGCAGCAGCAGCAGCAGCAGCAGCAGCTTTGGAGGGTGGGATAGGGGAGCGGCTGCAGGCTGGAGATTCGGCGCTTGGAAGGCATGCTCTGGATCCCTACTCTGTGCTTGTATCAGGTAGCATCATGCCCGCACCAGCCGAGCGTGCAGCAGCAGAAGCCACCGCAGCACCAGCAACAGCAACAGCTTCGACTACAACTGCTGCGTCACCAGCGACAGCATCTGTTGAATCAGCAGCGACAGCAAGTGCTGTGTCGGCAGTAACGAGAGGGTGGGTGGCAGTGGCAGGCGAGCCAGCGGTGGGGGTGGTGGGTGCAGTGGGCGCACTGGGAGCAGCGGGCGCTGCAGGGCTGCGCTCACAACTCTCCCTCTCTGCAGCAGCCGCCGCTGCAGCAGCTGCTGCAGGGCTGCGCTCACATGAGCTCGTACAGCTGTCAGTAGTGGGGGGAGCTGATGGGCCTACTACAGAGAAGAACACGGGATGGCGACATGACTTATCCTCCTGTGATCAGGTGGGAGGAGGGGGTCGCGAGGGTGGCATGGCGGGGAACGGGGAAACTGGGGAGCGGGCGGCTAACAGGCCTGGGGGGTTTGGTTCTTCTCCTGGGTGTGGCTCGGTGAGAGTGGTGTGTGGGTTAGAAGGAGGGGTGGCAGGTGTGATTTCTGGGGGGATTGGTCATGCAGGAGGGAAGGGTAGTCGGGGGGGGAGCATGGTGACAGAGGCGGTGGCTGCTGCAGCGCTGTCTGCCATCCTACAGTGCGCCATGCAGGGGGGGAGGGGTGAGGGTGCTGCTGCTGGTGACGCCTCTCTGCAGTGGCAAACGCACTTGCAAGGAGAGCCGCTGCAGGAGCAACGGCAGCAGCAGGAGCGGCAGCATATGCAGCAGCAAGAGCAGCAGCATATGCAGCAGCAGCAGCAGCAGCAGCAGCAGCAGCAGCAGCAGCAGCAGCAGCAGCAGCAGCAGCAGCAGCAGCAGCAGCAGCAGCAGCAGCAGCAGCAGCAGCAGCAGCAGCAGCAGCAGCAGCAGCAGCAGCAGCAGCAGCAGCAGCAGCAGCAGCAGCAGCAGCAGCAGCAGCAGCAGCAGCAGCAGCAGCAGCAGCAGCAGCAGCAGCAGCAGCAGCAGCAGCAGCAGCAGCAGCAGCAGCAGCAGCAGCAGCAGCAGCAGCAGCAGCAGCAGCAGCAGCAGCAGCAGCAGCAGCAGCAGCAGCAGCAGCAGCAGCAGCAGCAGCAGCAGCAGCAGCAGCAGCAGCAGCAGGAGCAGCAGCAGCAGCAGCAGCAAAGAGATTGGCAGCAGCAACAACAACAGCAGCAGTGGAAGCAACAGCTTCAATGGCGTCAGCAGCGGCAGGAGCAGCGAAAACAGCAGCAGCAGCAGCAGCAGCAGCAAGAGCAGCAGCGAAGAGATTGGCAGCAGCAGCAACAGCAACAGCAATGGGAGCAGCAGCTTCAGGGACGGCTGTGGAGGCAGGAGCAGCGGAAGCAGCAGCAGCAGCAGCAGCAGCAGCAACAACAACAAAAGCAACCACATGTGACGCAGCCAAAGCAAGAGCCAGTGGATGAGCGTGCAGAGCAGATCATGCAGCGGACAGGGCATGGGACCATCACACGCGCCAGAGACACCAGAGACAGCAGCACACCAGGAGAAGCAGGGCGGACTCCGCATAAGCAGGCTCGTCATGAGCCTAGGTTTGGCCAAAGTGGGCTCTCTCTTTCCATTCCAGCAGACCCACACATAGTGCCACCATCTGCTGCTGCACTCCCTCCTGTTGCACACGTATCTGCTGCTTTTCCCACGGCACTTGAAGCAGCAGCAACGGCAGAGCAGCATGGAGCAGCATCAGCGGGGCTATGGAGCAGAGCAATTGCTGGGACTTCAAGGGCAATGCATGAGCTTGTGGGTGGAGTGCCGGGGTTCCTCCCCTCTCCTGCTGCCAGTCCGCACGCCACCCCTGATATTCATTTGTCGCTGGCCCCTAGTGCTGGTGACAGCAGCAGGGCAGCTAATAGAGGGGATGTAGGTGCTCGATGTGGAGTCCACCCCATCCCCGATAAAAGCATCCCCGATAAAAGGCATGCTGTGACTGGTGCAGGAGAGACACTAAGTGTCAGCTTGATGGCGCATGGGGCTAGGAAGAGGGGGAGGGCTGGCCAACTGCTGGCAGATGGGTCTAAGGAGACGTTTCCTCTATTGCTGTCCTCGCCTTTAGGGCTGTATGACAGTAGTGCTGATGGTGGCACATGGCCATTAAATTGAGGCATTGAGGATTTGTTGTATGTGCCGCAATCATTTTCGTAATACAAGTTCAGGTGCTGAAATTTCTTGAAGTATATGGTATACCATACCACTCATAAATTTAAGACATTGTGATATGCAGTTTAGGACCCTAACGATTTGTCAGAGTGCAGTTCTGTACTCACCCGTTGAAGTACTGTATTCTATGGGAAGGTAAAGGTCAGCGTCAATGAAAAATGTCGCGACGTGCTGGTCGTGCAACTGCTTCTGAGTCTCCTTCGTGCTCTCCCCCCGACTTTTCACCATTCGTTGTGCTTTCTGTAAACAGACACCTGCAATGCTGTAGTGGTTCATGGCTTCGTCAGGTCTTGACACGAGAATCCACTATGTCGTTTATATTTTATCATCATGGCACCTAGCCGATACCGACGCTGTAATCTCTAAGAGGCCACTCCTCGCCTGTATTTAATTAAGCTTCAAGAAACAACACTAACCGATGCTCGACACGCTTAGCAGCAGTAAGGCTTACCGGAAGGCTTACAGAATGAGGTGACAATTGAGTCTAGTAAAACAACTCTTATCAGACTTCATTAAGGCTAGCTGTGGCAATTCACGACTGTACCTTCTGTAAGGCTTTCAGAATGCCGACTTCAAGATGCCGATGCTGCAGCGCAGTCTTAACCAAGCCGTCGCCGGCGCTTCTATGCCGGCCGTGTAAGGTGCTAGGGTCGGGGGGGACCGTGCGTGTGCGACCGGGTGTCTGGCGTCTGGCGCGTTGGAGAGCGAACGAATGGGTGCAGATGGGTCGGATACGGCACGTGCAGGAGCTGCTGGAGGAGATTCGCACGCGCGGACTGCTGCTCATCGTTATTGCTGTCGTTCTCGCGTATGCCATGTCGCGTAAGAACATTCTATCGCGTATGTCATGTCGCGATGAACAATCGCGTATGCCATGTCTCGTAAGAACACTATCGCGTATGCCATGTCGCGTAAGAACACTATATCGCGTATGTCTTATCGCGTAAGATTATCATAGAGACCTAATGAGGACTGTTATGGTTTTCAACGACCCGATGGTAGTCATCTCTGGTGGTCGAAGTCTGAAACTGCTGTTGTTTGTCCCAGGTGGTTGTTATCCCAGGTGGTCCCAGGTGGTCCCAGGCGGTCCAGGTGGTCCCAGGTGGTCCCAGGTGGTCCCAGGTGGTCCCAGGTGGTCCCATGTGGTCCCATGTTGGTCCCATGTGGTCCCAGGTGCTCCCAGGTGTTCCCATGTGCTCCCAGCTGCTGGTCATCATGATTGTTGCGCTCGCCTGTGTCACCTCCACCCGTCTCTTCCCTTCTTTCCTCCTCCCGTTGGTACATGTGATGCCGCGTCAGTGGCGAGCCCCTCGCTGCTCCCCAACCTGCCACCGGTGGCCCTCGCTGATCCTCGAGTTGACTCAAACATTCCCCCTTCTCTCTCCCCCCTCCCTCTCCACCCCTCTCCCACTGTCTCCTTACCTGTAATCTGGCATCAGTAACAAGCTCCTCGCTTCTCCTCAACCTGCCGGTGGCCCTTGGGATCCTCGCCGCTGCTCGCTGGCTCATGCTCGAGCTGCAGGCGCGGGCCAATGCCAGCCTGCCACGTGTGCACTACGAGCAGGTGCACGCGCCCTTCCAGCCAATCACGTCCGCTGACGCCCTACCGCGGCCGTCCGAGCCAGCCGGGCTGGCGCTGGTGGGATCGCCGCTGGTGGAAGCGTCTCTTGACGAGTTTGTGCGCTCCATTATAAGGTGAGCGAGATGCATACTCGTTACAAGCAGCCACACACCCACACACACATCCCTTCAAGCTCGTCCCCTATTGTCTTCCACCGGTCTTGGTAGCCTTTTGACTATTCTTGTTCACACTTGAGAGATGCTATCATGGTACCACCCATAGTCTATCCATGATAATAGGGGACCACCCACCCCATTCTCCCTTTCCTCAATGCTCACTCTTCTCCTCCCCACCCCTCTCCCCCTCAGGGATTTTGTGACGAACCAGTTCTATGCGTACCTGACGCCAGACAGGGAGATGCCGGAGGAGCTGCGCTGTGTGCTGCTGGCCGTGCTGGGGGAGGTGGCTCGCCGTGCCAAGCGGGTCAACCTCGTCGCTCTGCTCACCAGGTGCTCTGCCTCCGCTCACCAGGTGCTCTGCCCTTGCTTGCTCTGCTTCCTCCGTGCTCGCCTTTCTTTCGCTAACCCTTCCCGTCCTCACGTTCCATTTCCCCCCCACTTCCATGCTCCCTCGTTCCTGTCCCCTCCCCCAGGGACGTGGTGGGAGCGGTGGTGGGGGCAATGGAGCAGTACCAGCGCGCTTGTGCGGACATGGGCGAGGGTGAGGGCGAGTGGAGGCGGGTGGCGGCAGGGGAGAGGGAGGAGCGCCTCAAGCACACCCTGGGGGCGTCGGGTGATCTGCACCCCGCGTGCCTCTCTGTGGAGTGCGAATACAAGGTGGGTGGGAGAGTACAGGTGGGATACCAAGATTGGTTGGGCTGCTGCTGCCTTGTTGTTGGGGAACTGTCGTTCTCGGTAAGAGCCTGCACACTGTAATACAGTGACTGTATGACTCCCCTTGAATCAAGAATACCAGCGGGCTTCATTTTGAGTCGACTCAAAAGTCACCTTGGGCCTCATCTTCTCCTGTGGCCGTGTGTGTGGGCCTATGTGTGTGTGTGGGCGGGGGGGGGCGGATGGGCAGTATATGGATGTGGTTGTGGTTGTGCATGTGCGTGTGCTGTGCGTGTATGGGCGTGTGCATGTCCGTGTGCATGCATGCATCAGGTGGTGAGGAAGCTAGTGGCAGCACTGTTGGCGCTGGTGCTGCCAGCCAGTGACGCACAGTGCAAGGTGGTGCGCTGCATGGCTCGAGAGCTCCTCTCCTGCTGCGTGCTGCTGCCCTCCCTCAGACAGGCCAACCCCCGGTATGCACTCTAACAGGCCAACCCCCGGTATGCACTCTAACAGGCCAACCCCCGGTATGCACTCTAACATGCCATCCCCCAGTAATGCCGTGCTTTAAGTTCTCCCGTGTCTCCAGCACCGTACTTTTCTTCTCTTGTTATTCCACATCTGTAGTAGCCCATTGTGTGATCAAACATTTGCATGTGCTCCCTCCTTCCTCACTTTTCTCTCCCTACCCTGTTGCTGTCACTCTCGCCTCCCTCTCCCTCCCACACTGTACCCCTCTTCTCTAATGGTCCTTCCATTGATGTAGTCGGTTTACACACATGCAGGGGGTATAAGTTTCATGCATACAACGCAATCTGGCACTAAACTTCCAACTCTGCCATTTTTCCGCCACCCGCTTCTCTGTCTCTGCTTGCTCCACAGAGTGATCAACGACGCCATACTCGCCTTCCTGGACAAGCACCCCTCCTCATCCACCTCACATCCGCCCTCTGCGCCTTCAGCCCCTGCCACCGCTAACCCACCACCAGCCTCAGCAGCCGCAGCCACAGCCGCAGCAGCAGCGGCGGCGGCAACAGCAGCAGGTGTCAGTGCAGCAGTGGCAGTGGCGGGGATGGCAGCAGGTGGAGGAGGAGTAGCCGGTGGGGCAGGATCAGGTCCGGGTGGCAGAGCTGTAGGATCGGCAGCATCGGCGCCGGTCCTGGCTGCTACGGTGTCGCCGCTGAGTGCAGCGGGTGCTTCTCTGCGACAGCAGCGGCAAGAGCAGTGGCAACAGCAGCAGCAGCGTGGGCAATCACAGCACGATTTTTCACCCCAGCATGGGTCGATGCAAGGAATAGGATCTCGAATGGGGGGATCTCTGAGGAGGCGAGTCCCTCGCAGCCGCAGCAGGCGAATGCGGGCCACAGGGTCTCCCAGTGGAGCCGCGTTCGGGGGAGGCGTATCTGGTCCAGGTGGGACGCACGGGGCAGGTGCATTCGGGGGAGGTGCGTCTGGTGCATCTGGTGGGAGGGGCAGCAGCAGCAGCATGCGGAGGCGGGCTGTGCTGGGGTTGGGGGGAGACAGTGCAGGGGACGATGACAGCCTAGCAGGGGGCACGAGTGATGGGGGCGTGGTGGGCATGGGCTTCAGCACAGACGAGGAAAACGGCTCCCCTGATGGCGATACCTCTTTTCATGCCGCTCGTGGTGGCGGTGGTGCTGCTGCTGCTGGTGCTGGTGCCGGTGCTGCTGCTGCTGCTGCTGCTGGTGCTGGGGTTGGTGGAGGAGGAGGTGACAAGCGCACGCCTGGTGGAAGCTCGGGCGCAGAAGGTTCGTCTCAGATTGCACCTCCCCAGGGCATGCCTCGTCAGGATAAATCTTCCCAGGATAAGCCTCCCCCGGGTCGTTCCCCTGGGCTGCTGCAGCCCATGAGCGCCTCTTCCTCAATGGCGTCCCTGGCCCCTCAGTTAATTGCCGCCACGCCCCTCCCTCTGCACCCCTCTGGCCCCTCCGGTGGCTTTATTGGCTCTCCTGGGTTTGGGGGGTCGGGTGGGTCTACTGCGGGTGGTGGTTTGGGGAGCCAAGGCGCGCTGAGCAGCAGCGGTGAGAGGCACGGGTGTTTTTCTTTGCACCCCCACCAGCCCTCAAACGCTTCTGGCTATGCCCCGCTTGCTCCACCTGCTGCTGCTAGCGCAGCATCCCTTCACATTCCGCCTCCTCCTGCTGGTGCATCTGGTCCGTTTGTCCACCCCAGTGGAGGGGCGTCCGCAGCTGTCGGTGAAGTGGCTGATAGGGCAGGGCAGCGGCAGAGGAGAACGGCAGGGAGGGCTTGGGAGGGAAAGAAGAAGGTGTTTGGCAGGGTGAAGAGCGAGCCGTGTGAAGGAAATGAAAGGGGTGCGGCGGGTGGGAGGAGCAAGGGCGAGGAGGTCGCAATGCTGTTACCGGGTGACGATGCGGACTTTGCGCAGGCGTTACAGCGGTACGAGCAGCGGCAGCTGCAGGTGCTGGACAGCGAGCAGATTGATAAGCTGTGGTACACCGATGGGGTGCACTCCCACTGGCACACCCACAGCCACAGCCACAGCCACAGCCACAGCCACAGCCACAGCCACAGCCACAGCCACAGCCACAGCCACAGCCACAGCCGCAGCCACGGCAGCACACAAGCGGTTGGAAACGCGCACGCAGGCAGGCATGACAGCAAGGATTTTTTTGAGAATGGCAGGCACAGCAAGGATTCTGATCGGAATGGCACGGAGGAGCCAGGTTGCAAGGACGACGGCATGCAAGGAGGCGAGAGTAAGGGAGGACCTGCGACTGGGGAGAAGCAAGGAGTTGCTGAGGAGAGCCACAAGCAGCATCAGCAGCAAGTGCATGAGGCAACGAAAAGGAGCAAGAGAGAGCGGGAGCGGCCTGTGAAAGGGCAGGAAGTTGTGAGAGGCGGAGAGAGAGCGGTGAATGGGCAGGATGCGGTTGTGAGGGGTCAGGATGGGGTGCAAGGTCGGCAGGGGCCAGCAGTGGACGGACTCAGGGAATTTGATGTTGCCGATAGAAATGCTGCTGGTGGTGCTGGCAGCTGTGGTGGTGGGGGGTATGTTAGTGCTGGAAGGGAGGGGAGCAGAAGGGAGAACGTGCGAGAGATGCTGTGGGAGTCACTTTGCTCAGACGAGGAGCTAGGCGGCTTCAAGAGAGCTGCTGCTGGTGTAGGTGGTAACCCTGTTGGAGCTGGTAACTGCGATGCAGGTGGTTACCGCAACGATGGCACCCGCAGTGGGAGGTGGAGCGAGGAGCTGGAGATTGGGGTGGCTGTGCGCGGGCTGGGGTTTCTGGTGGAGCAGTCACCGGGTACAATGCAGATGATGATGCACAGGAAGGGCGCTGGTGGGGTGGGAGAGGTCGGGCAAGGAGGGTTAGTAGGAAGAGGAGGGGTAGATGCAGCATGGGGAGGAGCAGGTAGGGTTCTGTCTTCTGTGGACGAGGCTGGAAGGGTGAGGCAGGGAGTGGGTTTGAGCACAGACGGGGCAAAGGAGGTGTCAGGGGAGCAGCAGTCGCAGGCACAAGGCGGGTGGGGGGGTGTGTGGGCCACAGGCGCGTTCTGGTCATCATCTGCAGCAGGAGCAGCAGCAACTGCAACAGCAGCAGGTGGCGCAGGTTTAGTGGGTAAACCACAGGTGGATGCTGCAAAAGGAGCAGCGGGAGTGG